AAAACAACAGCGCCCAAACCCAAACCCCCCCCCCCCCCAAAAAAACAACAACAACCCAGCAATAGCTGCTATTCAGGAGAAGCAGAGATATGCAGCGTTTTTAAAAGTAGGACAATAATTTGGAGCACCTTTTTTTATTTCCCAAAGCACAAATTACTTTTTTTGTGCTAGGGTTTAGATACAATGGGGGAAATTTATCAAAACTGGAGCAGACACAACCTGGAGCATTTGCCCATGGCAACCAATCAGCATCTCTCAAGTTTGCTCAGATAAGCTTTGAAAATGAGAAAGAAGCTAACTGGTTGCCATGGGTAACTGTTCAAGTTTTGAAATTCCCCTCAATAAGTTTAAGGGGGTCATTTTCAGAAGGAGAGACTATTTGTGTTTAAGGCCAGCTTTACACTTGTGCAGCGCACATATCTATTTAGAATGGTACCCAGTGTATCTATCTAACAGCCGCCACCGCACCTGCACGATGACGCAGCACACTGCACATAGAGAGCAGCCAAGGATTTCAAACCTAACATGATGAAGTGTATCCCCCAAAATAACAGCAAGCCAGCACTATCTGCAGACACCAGAGACACAGTACAGTTGCCCAATCTAACCTATAAACGACCATATAGAAGTTAATGTATTGACACCTAGCGATATGACCCATTTTTGTACATCTTCAAATTAAAAGGACAGCTTACATGAGGATATACAAAGTTATCCTAGTAGGGCAGCTAGAAAGCAACTTTGTGTTCTCCTTCTGTTCTGAGAAATCTACATTAACGTTGCTAGAAAAACCTCCCTGCAGACATTTTATTATTTTTTTAATGATAAAAAAGAGAAATAAACCAACTCTACAATTTTCAGAAACTGGCCACTGGATGGCACCACACTATAATATGTTGCTGGAAGGATCCATGATAGATCAATATCATCAATGTCATCTAACATCATTGACTGGAAATCTACAAAGTGGTACACTTTAAACAGAGTGGTTGCAATATAAAGTAAGTGTGTGGGGTTTTTTTTTAAATACATAATTAGCGGAAGTCAATTACTTTTTTTTTCTAAAACTTTTAAAAAAAGTATACAACATCATTCCAAATATATTACATATTAAAAGTTACTTATACGAATTACAACAAAAAGCACAAGAAGCAAAACCAAAGTAAAAATAAAAACAATTATTGATTGGCTACAAGCCTGGTGCAGCATTTATATCTGATCACACGTTTCGGCCGAATAGTTTCTATACCAGACACTCCAATAATATCTATATATTAAAATCTGTCAGTGCTGATTCAATCTGTCAGCAATGTGCACAAAACTTATTGCATGCAGCCTGTTAAACAAACTCTGGCATCCTTGGCATAAGCCTAAAACAATGTCCAGCCAAAAAGTTTTTTGGATAGAGTGGGGAAAGGTTTTTACTGCTACCAGGATGGTTTTCCAGAGATAAAATAACCTAAATTTACCAAATTCCATTCAAAAAACCCTTTTTATCTACTTTAGGAAGCAGATTTCCTTAGAAATGCTGACTGCACTGGAAGAATGCTTGCAAAGATGAAACTTCCAAAGTCCAGTTGATGCAATAGATCAGACAGTTAGTGGCCTATTTAAAAAGATCTGAAATTACATTTTGCCTTTGAGGTAAAGTTTTACCAGTTCTTGCAGATTTTCCACTTACAAATCTAAAACAGAAGTAAAAATAACAACCCCACAAAATGTAATATAAAGAATATCCAAAACCCAGTTAACACTTACTTTCAACGACCGATTGTTTAATAAAATAGAAAACAAAATATACTGCAAAAACCATGAAAAATGCAAAAAAAAAAAAAAGGCAATTCATCTTGCATCTGTTAGGGTGACCTATCAAGAAGATGCATACTAGTTAAGGAACAACAGAAGAATCACCAAGGGCTTGTTCACACCAAATTCGGACCAGATCTGCATGAGTTTTGGCACACGCAGTGCAGCGTGTTTTGCCGTGTCCCAGGCTGTTTTTGAAAGAAAAAAAAAAAAAACCTAAAATGGGCTTTCAGTGCGTTCCGGGGAGATTGCGTGTGTTTTTGATGTGTTTGCATGCGTTCCAGAGCAGGAATAATAGGGCTTGCTGCTGTTTTTTTTTTACATGTTCTGGAACTGAATGCTGCGGTGTAAACTAGAGCTCAAAATACCATTGGACGCAGTTTTGATCCGTTCTGTTACTGCTCTGCTCCTGGAACGCGCTTGGTGTGAACTAGTCCCAAGTCCTGGATCTAGTACAGTCTAAGAGTTCCACGCAAAGGCTTCTTAAACAAGTATTAAACTTGGAGAGATCAATTCCATCCAATAAATAAATGATCTGCATTTAGAGTATGAGAACGGTCCACTATAGGAGCAAAGGTCTGCTGTGAGTCCGTGGATGTTGGCTTTTTAAAAAATGTTCCAGGGCAAAAATTAGGATGTAACAGGATTTTTGTCTTACATGTAAAATCTGTTTCTTGGAGCACATCACAGTACTTTGGGAGCTAATTCTTCAAAAGATGGGTTATGGTGATTGGATGATTGGCAAGTCAATCAAAGCTATAAGACAGCCGTGTATAACTTCTCCCACTTCCAGTCTGTCTCTGCCTGCAGCAAGCAGCACAAGAGTGGATCATAGAAACGAGAGGGAAGGGTTCTTTTACCTGTTAAATCTATTTCATTTCAGTACAGGGAAGACAAAAATCCTGTTTTCTTGAGTGAAAATCCCAGGCCACCTGAAGAACCTGGCAGCTGAAACTAGTATACGTGGAGGCCTGAATGTCCACCTGGTAAAACGTTGCAAAAGTGCAAGCAGAGGACCAAGTGACAGCCTTACAGATTTGGTAAAACCGAAGTTCGATGCTGGAAGGTCCTCGTAGAATGAGCCATAACCACAAAGGAAGGGAAGAGGAATGCTACCTTTCAACTCATGCAGTCCGCCATGCACAAAACGGATCTGGATAACAGCTGTTCGGTGCCGCAGTGGCTGTGGAAAGCTTAGGGAAACTTGCTAGCACTAGCTTGAGCAGAAAAAGTTCTGAAAGAATGGTCTCCTCAGAAAAAATTTCCTCGGGACACTAACAAAAAACTGAGGCAGGCTGGGAGTGGTTATATTAGAGCTGTTCTACAGTCTTGATTTGCCAGGCTCCAATCACCTGAAGGCAGCTGCATAACCCATTGAAGATTTAGCACCCTGTGTCCTGTGATGTACAATCAAGAAAATGAATTAAATCCAGATACCCAACTTCACTGTATATTACCTTAGATTGCGACTTAATGGTCTTTGGCAAGGCAGACAGGATATAGAAAAGCGTAATATTAAGGCAGAACTAGGTAAAGTGATCCAAGCACTGCACAGTGGTCACCACTTTAAAGCTGCTGCTGTTAGATTTAATAACCAACAAAAACGTTAACTAGAATGAACTACTGTAAAAAGGGGATTTTAGTTCTAAGCACTAGTAGTGCAGGCAAATTACAATTGTCAGCATCCTTCATGAGGAGAGAAGATTATTTCACCTCATTTCTATACATTTGTAAATATATTAAGTGTTGAAACATTCCTATCTTTAAAAGAGAAAAGCAAAATGAAACATATATTAGAGCTCTTTGCTGTAAATTAGATGGAAATAGGTTAAAT